AAAAAAAAAAGGCAAAACATAGGCTAACATCATCAAATGATTGCAAATAGGATAAAAGATGTGTATAGAGCATCGAGAAGCATGGTGATATTTGCACCTGAAGCAAATGCTGCCCACCATCTTCGCCATCGGCAAAGAGTCGTAAATCTTTGTTCCAGTTGTCATGCAAAAAGGAACCATCAGCATCACTCTCACATAGGCCATCCTCCCAATCCTGAAATGATTACAAAACTATCATTAGTAAGAGAGTGACAGCCAATATAAAACAATATCTCAACAGGCCTAAGGCTGTAATGCCCCAAAAACAATTGGTGTTGGAGAAATTGGAAAATTGGTGTACCGCCTGATAACCAAAATGAATGAGATGGAATGTTAGAGATCGATTTTCGATTTTATTTAATTGTTAAGAGTCTTTTTAAGAATATCATCAGTTGTAACCTAGTTTGTCTTTAGTTGAATCGAGATTGTTGGCTTTAAGCTTAAGCGGTAAGGTTCTTCCCAAAATATTGGCCTTAGGCTCTGCTGGATTTATCCCTAGTTGTTTTCAATTATTTTCCTAAATAATATTGATAATCTATAATTTCTGCATTACTTTCATTCTTGATTCAAGTTCAATTGCTCCGACCTATCTTGCAGCCATGCATCTCATAGCTCACATGCATGCCTTACCAATAGTTTAGACACAAAAGTCCTAGGACATCAAATCTCTAAATGAGAATTAAAGTGCAATTACGTCCATCACCTTTCTCGCGCATGCAAAATCCAATCCCAGATAAACGATTTCCAGACTACAACTGGGAACAAAATATTTAAGAGTGCCATTGGATACTAAAGAAGCAACATTTTTGATTCTCCCACCAGAAATACACCATCCATTTCTCTCACAATTACAAATTACTATTTTATCACATCACCTTACTTTATCAAAATCATGAATTCTTTCTTACTCAACCAATTTTTTTTAATTACCTTCATAATTGATGAAGGTAGCCACAACTCCTCGTAAAAACAAAGTATGCGGCTCCTCGTAAAAGTAAGATATGTGGAGCATTTCAATAAATAGGAAATCAATTACACTTTAATTACCCGGGCCCACAACTTTTGGGCATAAAAATGTATCAGAGAAGTACAAGCCATGGCAGATACCTGTAGCTGTTGAAGAATGGTTGGAATATATCTGTTGAATGGGCCTGATTTAGAGGAATCAACCGCTTTTGAATGGAATATAGTGTCAATTTTCTTTATTAAATTCATGAGCTCTGATGATGATGTTAGAATATTTATTACCTGCAATAATGAAAAATACATGAATAAGGCATGACAATTAACCAGAAGTCTCATTCTATCACTTATCTCTGCTGTATAAAAATTATTTCATTACATTCCTCCAAAAAACTTAGATGCCACGATAATGTGGCAAAATATCAACATGAGTAACAGTTTATAAAAGCACTACTATAAAGAATACCCAAAGCTTACTACTATAAAGTGATGACATGAGGTAAAAAATGTGTGTGTGTGTGTGTGTGTGCATGTGTAAAAACATGCATTGCTTCTCAAAAGAGATCACATCATATTCAATCAGTGTTTTCAAAAGGAGGAGCATTACGCCATGGTGTGGCAGAAGTACAGATGTGACATTTCATGGTGGCTCTGTAGCAAGTTGCTATGGCACCACCAAAATTGGTAAAATAACCATGGTCCACTAAAAACATAAGGTCTGACTTTGTGTATATTCATTGGTGACACAACAATGGTCAACTTGCACCTTTCTATGGTAACACTTAATGACTCCATGTAAAAAAATTGCTTCCTCAAAAGAAAATAAAAGGTCTCATCTTCCAAAATGGCCTTCCCCTTCATAAGAGCTTGGCAAACATCAAAAGAATATAATAATGCTGCACAAAATTTAGCTTCTGGTCCATTCTACCTGGTTTGGAAAGTAAAGACAACCTTTCTAATTTCAATCACCCATATGTATGCCGCTTCATTTTGGGGGTAAAGAATGTAATATCAACTGTGTCAACATATTCACTTTAGATAAGCAACTAGCAACTTTTCCATGTCCATGCATGTGCATTGCATCTGATACTAAGAACAGAATAAAAGATATGATGCTTAAGTATTTTTATATGAATATAAAATAAATAATTACAGTAATGAATTATGTAACAAAACACTAAATATAGTAACAATAGAGCATGTATGCCAGCTGCCATGTGGTCATCAATTGTAGCAAAGATAATTCAGTACATATTTGTACAGCAAAAGCCAGTAAGGCATCTAGTGGTGTCAACAAGTGAGAGATTGTAAAAATTAAGCAACCCAGGCCTTAAGGCAATCCTCTCGTTAAAAATATAGGGAGTGTCAAAGTTTGGGAGCGAGTACAATCAAATATTCTTCACTTAAGGAATACGTTTCAGCAATCTTTTTCTCCTAAAATACTGAGAGAGCAGAAGAGAAAGTAACCATGCCGTAGATACAGAACTAAAGCAATAAGACATTAGTGCACAGAAAAAGATGATCTGGGAAAATTATAGCAAAACCCAAATAAATCATACCTTAGCGACCATCTGAACAATAACTTCCGTGTCTGTATGAAGAAACTTATGTGCAAATCCAATAAAGTGCATGACCAAGGAGCTATAAAACAAGTAGTTAGCCAATATGAAACCCTGCCAAGAGGAAGAATATCCTGGAGATGATGAGTTACTGGCATTGTTTGCTGAACTTCCTGTAGGAAGCCCCAATGTTTCATTAAGATCGGCAAACTCTTCAAAACTAATTGACCAAGGTTCCATATAGTTGATCCAGACAGAAAATGCTTGAGATGCATTTTTTATGGATGTTTCCACTGGACAGAACAGAAAGGTTCTCAAGATATATCTGTACAAGGGCCTCTGAATCAACATGTTTTGTGGTCCAACTGTATGAGAACTCAGAGTAGCATCCCTGGACTTAACAGCATCAAATGAACCTGAAACTCCCCACCCAAGAGTCCGAACATAATCGACCTGATTATGCCCTTCCGTAGCTGCAAGCGAACTCATGTTCAAATACTTAACAAAAACATTTAACACGTCACCCAATCCTGGGGTAGGTGGAGCCTCTCCCAGAACAGACCTAAAAGGAAAAGTTACACCAAATGCCTTTGACAAACTGACGGGCAAGGGTGAAAAATCATTGTCAACCAGCCAGAAATGTATCATTGTGTTGACCACAAACTCAGCTCTCTCCAGAATAGAACTATCATAACCAGGAGAATACTGAAGTAAGGAACTCCGGTAGGGCTGCTGGACATTCAAGTCTTGGACAGGCACAAACGAATGAAGATAGACATACAGAAGCCTTATGTATAGATTACTCTCAGTCTTCTTTTCTGTTTCACGTTTAGTACTTGCAAGACCAGGAATTGAATATGACCAGTTCTCCAACCTAAACTTTTTGGTCCTTTGAATCTTCACTGTCTCTGAACCCTCACTGTTACCTCTGCAAAGAGGGAAATAAGCAAACCAAAACAAATAATATTCAAAAACATTCAACTGGATCTGATACGAAGAACCCTTTAGTGAATCTTCCTTAATCCTGTTCTTGAACAAAGGACACAAATCAGTCAATGCCCGACAGTCTTTCTCCTTCTGAAGCATGTAACGAACCCACTCTGGTAATCTTTCAATAGGGAAAACGTATTTAACTAGAGACAAACGATCGATTCCAGAAACTGAAGACAACAGCACACCATTTGGCGACAGCAGGCTGAAAATTCTACCTATAAGCAAACCAAACAACAAGTGCTAAATATATGACATGTAGAGGCTGAATTACAGAAAAGAAACTATCTTCCCCAACTCTCAGTTACTCAGCATCCAGATAAAAACTAAACAATGTATATAAAAAAGTAAGTAAAGTCTCAAAGGTTTCTCAAAATCAATGAAACGCGAGCGAATATAAAGCGCTGCCAGAAAGTTCTAGACACTGCTCTATAGCTGAAAATTCACACCCACGAAAAATAAATTGCAGAATAACAAACGATATATACGGTCATCTACAACTAACTAAAACCCTACCTGAAAGCTCCGAATCATTTTCAGAAGCAGCAACGTCAATCCATCCGTTGGATGAGTGGCGCTTGGTAGCAGCCGAAGGAGGCGAGGGGTCATCGAAGCCGAACACTCTGCATATTAGGGTTGGGAAAGTGATGGAGAAGAACCACCTCTGCTGGTCAGGAGTGTGCTTCCGGAGGAACGACTCCACATCGGCGCACGCGGCGGCGATCTGCGCCGGAGATGACGCCGCCGCGACGGCGGAGGCCAGCTCCGCGGATTTGGTCTGCGTA